CTGAGTATCTTCATGATGTCCACTGTTAGCAGGTTGACTGACACCTGGGTAGGCCACACCCAAGGGCACAGTAAGAGAAGGGGACACACACAAGGCACTTCCATGGAAGATTCTACCCTAAACAGGGCAAGGGGTTGTATTACAAAGGAACAGGTGAACGTAGCTCCACCCACGGGGCTGTAGGAAGACACACCCATGCAGGAGACACCGACCCTGGAACCCAAGAAGGGTGGGGAAAGCTCTGCCACATGTCTGTGACTGAGCGCCTCAGCACCCAGCCGGGAGTGTAACCCAGTCATGTGCAAGGTTGGTCTCCCATACTCTACTGCTTTCCATATTGGCTGCACCAATTTGCAGTCCCACCGGCAGTGAATGAGTGAGCCTTTGTCCCCACATTCTTGCCAACACTCACTGTTGCCTGTATTCCTGAGCATTGCCATTCTGACAGGAGTGAGATGAAATCTTAGTTTTGATTTCCATTTCTCTAATTGCTAGAGATGATGAGCATTTTTTCATGTGTGTCGATTGGTTGTCTATCCTCTTCTGAGAAGTGTCTGTTCAGGAGACTCGTACAACACAAGAATTAAAATCAAGAATCAGTAAATGGGATGGACTCAAACTAAAAAGCTTCTTCTCAGCAAAAGAAGCACTCTGTGAGGTGAACAGAGCCTGCATCCGGGAGCAAATCTTGACCCCTCACATCAGCTAGAGCACTAATCTCTAGGGTACATAAAGAACTCGAAAAGCTAAACACCAAAAAAACAAATAACCCCAGATCATAACTGGGCCAAGGACCTGAACGGTCCACCACTTTCGAGTAATCTTCCTACATTTCCTACATTTCTAGGTAAAGCCACACCGTGCAGGGCCTCCGTCGCTACTCACCAGGGCACCCGCTGGGATACAGGGCGCCGCGGCTTTTGCCAGCACCCTGTTTCCCTCTCTTCGACTGGGCTGGAGCCAGGGCCCTCCAGCTCCTTTGGACACACCCGCTGTCCCTCTGTCCCGCTGTCCTCTGAGGAGCCTTCTGCTCGCTCAGAGCGGGGTGGTTGGCTCCCAGGCTCCCTCTGGCTGCAAGGCCTGTCACTCCTTCATCACGGCCTCTCCCCTGAGGGTCTCAGAGAGCCACAGCTTCCTGCCCCCGTGGACCACAGTGGGCCTCCCTGGGTTCCGCCGCTCTCCTGGGACTCAGGGCAGAGCTGGGATAATGGCCTCTCTTCAGCCTCCTCCGTGGTCAGGAGACCAGGGCCACCCTGGAGCCAGGGTCGTGTGGGAGGTGGGGGGCGTAGGGAGTCAGAGGAGTGGTGTCTTGGCCAAGTGGTGTCTTGGCAGCTCACATGACCCTTTTGGGAAGGATCTCAAAAACCAACTCTCACCATGGGGTGAATGACACAGGAGGCGCAAAACATGATCCCTCTCTGGAATTTTTGCCTTTTGACTGGGAAGGCGGACACCAAGGGAGTCCGTTGCTGATTTTGACATTTTACACAACTGGATGAGACAAGGGAGGGGTGGGAGGCAACCATGTTGAAGACCATCCCCTTCCATCATCCATTATCTGGCAACTATTCACTGAGTGCCTACTATGTAAGCGGCCTGGACACAGTGACAGTAGCAGTGGTGACGTCTTGGACCTCCTGGGGCTCAGGTGCACTCTGGGCACGTGACACTTTATTGCACAGAACAACAAGGCTGATTTCCTTGGTGACTTGTGAAACCTAGTCCCCATTTCATTTGAGCAGCATTTGATTTTTCCCCGGTGCCTGCGCCGTCTTCGTGAGCCAACTGATCATACTTTCGTGAGACATTCTGTCCATGTTATTTTTACCTGGTTCACGGAGCACAAAGTTCACTAGAACTAAGCAAAGTTTAATTTTGAAGCCAACAATGGAAGAGTGTTGTGGGTGCTGCTCAGTTGGGGACAGTCGCTTTCCGCCTGCCCCGTGTGGTGTCCTTTGGTAAGAACCCTTTGAGAACCACCTGGTCCTGGTCACGGTCGTGCAGATGAGCAGGATTCACTCACCGTGGCTGCAGGAGCGGACACTGCATCTGGCCTCTCCTTGGTCATGGGGTGGTTCAGGTGCAGGCACTCGGGCGCTGCTGCCCGTGGGAGGCCTCTGTAGTCCCTGGAGCCAGTGGACCCTTCCCTGGGGTCTGCAGGCTGGGAGGAGCCTGCCTAAGGATATGGCCCACTGTGTGAGTCAGCTTTTCGTCTCTGAGACCAAAATACTCATTCAGAACATCTGAGAGGAGGAAATGTGTGTTTGGATCGCGGTTTCAGAGGTCTCCGTCCACGGTCAGCTGGCTCCATTGCAGAGACGTCGTGGTGGAAAGCTGCCCAGGAGCAGAGGGAGGGGAGGGGGCTGGGACTGGATCAGCCCCAGTGACCAACTGCCTCCAACTGGGCCCACCTCCCGTAATCCACTCAGCCACCGCTGAGGAGGGCAGCGCCCGGATCACGTCCTAGAGCCTCGCTGTGCTGGGGACAGTGTGGCCAACTTGCGAGCTTGCAGGGAAATTCCAGACCATAGCCCCCCAGAGGGGGCAGCAGGGCCCCAAGTGAGACCCCGAGTTAGTGGAGCACCTGTTCCGCCTGCGTGTGGACGTTCCATCGTGTGACGGCAGAGAGGTGCTGAGGGGCTGGGAGCGAGCTCGGCCTTCCTCTGCCCATCCGAGTTGGGCTCCTGTCACCAGCAGTGTCCTCCCTCATTCGATGGCATCAAACTTTCACCAGAACAGAAGAGTCCCATTGAAAGAATCAACTGCTTTCCTTTCCACTCAGTTACTCCTTTACTTGACATGTATTAACTGAGCATCAGCCGGCCAGTCCTGGTCCAAATCCTGCCCAGCCACCTGGACTTGGCTTCCTGGGTGAGAGCGCGAGGCTCAGAGGCCGGGGCCCTCAAGGTCGCGGAGTTGCTGTCCCCCGTGCGGCTGAAAGAGCAGCAAGGCCCCCTTGCAGGCACCGGCAGGTCTGTTCAAAGCACACAGAATTTTTCCCCTTGCTCTCTCTGGAGTCAGGAAGGCCCAGTCTGAAATTCGAGCGTGACTACAAGGAGAGTGGAAGAGGGAGTCCGACTCCTCTCCTGCCTTATTGCTGTGGAAGATCTGGGTTCTATTTTTAGCCTCTAAATGACCTAAATAAAGGCCTTCCTGGCCTGGTTCTGACTTTGTGCCACCTACGATGCCAATGGCCTTCTGCAACCCCAGTTCAGAAGTCCCCAGGTCAACCAGGCGGGGGCAAGGCCTGATGGAGGGCTCCAGGAGGACAGAGGACACCTTTATGGCAGTACCAGAAAAGGGCCTCCTGTCCCTAGGGGACCCCTGCCCAGAGGCCCCAACAGCAGTTGGCATGGCCCTGGGTGGGTCACTGCTTCCCTCGCGGATCAAATGGTGTGGTTGACAAGGGTCAGGGTAGGAAGGGCTCCTGGCCATCAGGCGGCTCCCGCAACCCCCGCCCCCTCCCCTGCTCCTTTCTCCTGTGCCACCGGGTTTAGACCCTCCTTCTCCACCCAGGCTCCTGTTCCACACTGTTCTTGGCACAGTCGTGTGCACATCCCCCCGGAGCTCGCCCAGATCTGCCTGTGAGCAGACCCTGTCCACAGACCAACAGTACACAGACCTCAAAATAACCGACACACGTGTTAAAATCTAGAGTTTATCATAGCAACCACAGTATCGTCCCAACCAGGTTTCAAGTTCTTTACAAAGTTACGAACTATTTAAAAACAATTTGAAAAAAGTACAGGAGAATCTCAAATGTGAACACTGTGCTGGGTTTAGAAAGACTAAACTGGATGAGAAACCTGAGGTACCCTGGTGACACAAGGCCTTTCTGTCTGGCACTGTTGTGACGCCAGGGGCCGAGGGGCCTGACAGGCTCCCACTGCCACACCAGCTGCTGAGGCACTAGATGCCAAGCAGAGAAGACCCCAGGCACACGAAGGGACCCCTCCCCTCACGGGCCAAGGAGCGGTGGCCGGGCCTTGCACCTCCACGTCCTCTCCAGCGCTATTAAACACGAGCCACCCGTGAGGACAGACCTGCCTGGGTCAGCAGAAGGGCCGGGCTGAGGCTCAGGAGAGGCTCCAGCCAGGGGAGCAGGAGGGGTGTCTGCAGGGGCAGGGGGTGTCCGGGAGCTCGAGGCTCCTCCTGGAGACAGCCAGTGGGCACCGACGGCCACGCAGGCGGGCGCAATCAGCCAGCGTGGCTCAGGGGCCCAGCTTGGCCACCAGCTGTCTGTGGAGTCCCCCAGGCCCCCTCCTGGTGGCAGCAGGCTTGCCCTGAGCCAGCACCCACTGGGAGTCTCAGCTGGAGGCGGTGGACAGGAGGGCTCCTGGGGTGGAATAAGCCAACCTTTTTTCTTTTTAAGGCTGCAGTAAGTATCTCTTTGGGCCCAGTGTTTTCAGAATCTGCTGGCAGCTCACATGAGCAGAAGCTGAAAAGCTGTCTCTGGGGCTTTGATACAGTCTAAGAGTTTCTATAACTTACAGGAATTCTGTTTTCAGCAAGATGATTTTCTTCCTTTCTGCCCACCCAAAGTTAACTTTTACTGACCTTGGAGAACCACAGAGATCTTAGACTAGCGAAAGGCTGAACTGAACACAGGCAGCATCAGGTCAGCCCAGGCAGCTCAACAGGCGGTGGGCTGCAGGGGGGGGGGTGCCCAGGGTCCTCAGGCTGTCCCATTCCCTGGGAGCTGTCACCAGCCAGTGGCTTTAAACATTGACAGAGTCCATCAGTTGACACAAGCTCAAGCTGATAAGCTGCTGCCCGTGGACTCACTCTCCATCCACCGGGACGTTGGGCATGGAGGCCAGGAACAGCCGTCCGGGTTCCCGTGTCCCCTGCCGGCTTCAGACGGCATCTTCTGCTTCTGCGATGGCTTCTTTTGCTGCTGCTGCTGCTGCTGCTGCTGCTACCATTTTTGCTGCCACTTCCAAAGAGATGTCTGTAGCAGCCTTGCCACTAGGGACCACGAGCTCCTTTTCACATTTTGGTATCCTGGAAGGGGCTGTCATCCTGTAAAGAGGGGGAGAGGATGAGCTGGAAGCGAAGGAGAATGGGACGCTGGACGCTCAGCAGGCCTCCCTGGGGGTGCCCCATGAGGCGAAACCCAGGCTGGGGGCAGCAGTATTCACGACGTTAGGAGCTTGACATCACCTTTACAGGCACCCACTCATCCCCATTAATTCTGTGTTAAGGTGAGACAATGAGGCACAGAGTGGGGAAGTGGCTTCCCTTAGGTCACACAGCTAATAAGTGGTGGAGTCAAGATTTAAATCCAAGGACCAGAGCTTGAGTCCTCCACTACAAGGGGATTCCCATTCAATTTCCTTTTCCTGAAATATTGCTCCAAGTTCTATGGCCACGTACACATGGGAAAAGATCACAGTGAAATGAAAAGAGATGGCTGGGCTGGGGGTGTGGCTCAGACAGCGCCCCCTGCCCTGTGCCGGGCCCTGGGTTTGACACCCAGCACTGCAGAAACTAAACAGAGGCCTGATGCTGGTGTAAAAGGACACCACCAGCGATCCACTTGCCATTCATTCTAAGGTTCGCTGTCAGCGGCTGGGCCGGGACGCAGGCCTCCTCCACCAACTGAGAAATGGAGCCTTTCATGAACGTGCCCATGATCTGTGATGTGGACCATCCTAGTGAGCTTTCCTGGCCCCAAGCAAATGCACAGGAGGTTGGCCATTTATCCTGGGGACAATCAAGAAGGCCCGGGAGGAGAGGGTGGAGATGCCTGCAGCCAGGGCTGGGCCCAAGGAGGTCTGCAGCAACGGCAGCAGTGAGAGCTCTCAGTGGAAAGGACAGCAGAGCAGGGAGGAGGCGGTGCTGGTGGGGAATGGTGGGTGCAGGGGCTGGCTGGCTGCAGCCTGGCTCCCACCATGAGGCAATGGGGAGCCATGAAGGCCAAGGAATCCAGCAAAGCTCAGCAGGTAGAGAAGAGTGGACTTCATTTCCCCGCCAGCAGTATCCAGTCTCAGGGCAGGAGAGGCGCCAACAGAGGTGGTATTTTAAGGAAGATGAATTTGGTGCGAGTGTGAGGGGCTGGTCTGGAGCCCAGGAATCCTGGTGGGAGCTGTGGCTGTCACAGAAATGAGAAGGAGACGGTGGCAGCGCTGGGAGGGAGGCCAGGGGTCCCCGGGAAGGACCGTGGCTAAGGAGGGTGGAGGTGGGAATGGAGGGACAGGGCCACCCGTGGAGCCTCAGCCCCCTGCCCGGGGCCTGCCAGTCTAAGGGAGAGGATCTCAGAGAGCACGAGGGAGGGGGCTCTCAAGGAAAGCCGCGGCCTCAGCGGAGGAGGAAGGTTCCAAGTGAAAGTGGACGAAGCACAGAGCCCGGCCTGGGGCAGCCTGGAGCTGGGGAGCAGGAGGTGCCCAGGCTGCTGCGACCCCAGTGAGGCTCGTCCTTGGCAAACCTGGCTGCCCCGCCCAGTGGGATGGTGGGTGCTGTGGGGACCCCCTGCAGCGCCTCCTCCCTCTCGACCTGCTGTTCCAGTGCGCCACCTGCTCGCCGCGGCAAGCCCCTGGGAGACTCACTCTTTTGCCAGGAAATGTTAAATGCCCGTGAGGGGTGACCAGGACGGGGCTGGCCCCTCAGAGGCCCTCTCACATCTCTGCCCTGCCTTCCCCTGAAGAGCAGGGCATCCCGTCCCGTGGAGGGCAGACCCGCGCACTCGCCTCTGGCTTTCCCACGCGGAGCCCGGTGTCTCCCACGGGGTGGGGGTGAGTGGTGGTCAGTGCACGCTGCTGGCGTTCACCAGGTCAGAACTAGTTTTTCTGACCAATGTATTTCTGCCAATCCAGGCACACGGCAGGGACTGGATCAGCGGGTGGAGGAGCGGCTTAGGGGTGTCTGCCTGTGCCAGGTGGGGAGGACCTAGGACCGCGGTGCCCGAAGCTCCAGGGGCTGCCTCACGGTCGCCCTCGCTGGCTGGCGCTGACTTTGCACTGGGCCGCGGGCAGTCTGATCCTCACCTTGACCAGGCTGGGGAGGGACAGAAGAGCGGAGGCCAGGCCCCTGGCAGAGCGACGTCCGCACAGGGGTGGAGGAGCTCTGAAGGCCGCGTGAGCTATGACCACAGCGGGTCCCCATCTGCCACAGTGACTGAAATCAGTGGCCCCGGGCAGCTCCTGGGCCTCCTGAAGCCTGGATGTCTTCTCTGTGAACCCAGGGACTGGGTTGAAACCCGGGTTTTGCCTCTCAGTGAATTAAGGAAAGGAGGAGCGTGGAGAGGCTGTGTTTGGGGGTGACCCCTGGGGGCCTCGCCAGGGTTCCTTTGTCAGGCATGTGCCAAGGGGAGACCTTGAGCCAGCCCCAGGCTGCGGGAAGCCTCCTCCCCGAGACCCGCCTGAGGTGCCGTCCTGCCCTGCTAGCTCTAAGTCCAAGGGACTCGACCCTTCAGGACGGCAAGATGCTGCTGGTGAGATGAGACGCTCCTGGCAAGGCAGGCACCTCTAGCCTGAGCACAATCAGATTTGGGAACCAAGGGACCGCTTGGGCCCTAGAAGGAGGAAGGACAGGCTTGTAGGTGCCTTCTGGGGCCTGGTGGGCTCTCTCAGCTCCAGGGGCGCACTATAAATCTAGGCGAGGGGGCTGGGGACATAGCTCAGTTGGGAAAGTGCTTGCCTCGCACGCCCAAGGCCCTGGGTTCCATCCCCAGCACCACACACACACACACACACACACACACACAATCTAGGCTACAGGTATCTCCCTTAGGATGGAGGGTGTAGGAAATCGGAAGCCCAAGAGGTCTCAGTCACACCTCCTTGTCCTCCCTCTGGTTTGCGTGATGGAGTGGAGGGCGCCCGGGAGCTTTGCCACCACCCACTTCCCTTCCACCTTAGTCCTGTCCTTGGATTACTGCTCTGGGGTCAGCAATTTTCTCACCTCTTTTAAAGTTCATTCATTCACTCAACAAATATTTTTTAGGAACCTTTTACATTCCAAGTTCTTGGGTAGGTAGGTATCAGGGATACACTGGGGGAAAAGAGTAGAAAAGATGATAATAAAACAAACACGAGAATTTCCCAATGTGATACCCACCATAGTGACACAGTGGGCTAGTGGACAGTGACTGACGGGGAGGATGGACGCTTAGGCGAGGAGGGGCCATCTAAGCTGAGAGCTGGGTGGGGGGTGGTGGTGGCCATGCGAGGGGGCAGAGGTGAAGTTCTCCAGGGGAAAGGCAGGAATGAGTGCACCCGGTGTCTGGGGAACACAACAACATCATCCCCGCTTGAGCACACAGCAGGGAGGGGTGGGAGAGAGGGGCACGTCCAGTCCTGCCCCTGGAGCTGGCCAGTGCAGCCTTATTTGGAAATGAGGTCTTTGTAGATGTGACTAAGGATTTCATGGTGAGATCACTCTGGATTTAGGGCAGACCCTCTGTCCAACTGGTACCTTACAAGGGAGAGGAGAGGAAAATCCGAACCCCGCGGGGGCCGCCCAAGGCCATGTGAAGGTGCAATTGCCGGCCACAGTGCTGACGAGCCCCAGGCTGGAACAGGCTGCAGGGCCACGGCAGGGAGGGACGGCTCTCCCTCCCGAGGCCCCTGGTCCAGAGGTCACAGCACCTAATTTTGGAGCCCAGGTCCCCAGAACAGTGAGGAAGTGTCTTTCTGTGGTTTTAAGCTGCCACATTTGTGGTCACTCATAGACAGCACCCACACAAGAGCAGGTGACCCAACTAACCACCCACCATGCCCCCACCCTGGGGTGCTGCACAGGAACAGAATACGCGGTGGGAATAAAAGTGGGAGCGGAGCCAGGGGAGGCTCCTGGTAGGATGCCGTGTGGCGCGTGAACCCCTGAGGCCCAGCGAGGGAGAAGCCGGGGTGCTGGGCCTACGGGGACGAGCGGGTGCTGCCAAGGTCTGGCCTTTGTCTTTTTGTGGTGCTGGGCATCGAACCCCAGGCACACAGGAGGCAAGTGCCACGCTCAGCCCAGTGAGATTTTGGGGGGAAATTTCAGGTCTTTGGGGAAATTTCCCCAGTCTTGGGGGCTCTTCTGTCCCTAAAGCAAAGCTAGGTGAGCTCCAGCTGGGATCCTGGGAGCTGGGGAGGGGAAGAGCCAGGGGAAGATGGAAGGTCCAGAAGAGAGGAAGGTAGCCAGGCCAGCGGTCCCTCCTCAGGGGCAGCAGAGCCCAGGGCCTGAGCAGATGTCACGGACAGCCTCCTGGGCTAACCGCCCAGCTCAAGTGCCACCTTCCCCGGAGCGTCCTCAACTCCTCCCCCGATGCCCACACAAACCCCTTCTCCGCCCCCTGTGCTTTGGGCTTCCCCAGGAGTGTCCTGCCTCCACGTCCACGTGCCGAGGAGCCGCTGGCCGACTTGCTGGTCTGGAAGGAGCGCCCTGGTTTCCCCCGGGCCCCCGACAGCCTGAGCCCAGGGCCCTGCACTGGTGGCCCCAGTTCCCGACTGTGCCAGGGCTCTCGCCCTCCACACACACTCAGCCCCCCAGAAGTCCCCGCCAGCGAGTTGCTGACCGCGGGAGACACGCTTCCCCTCCTGTCCTGTCAGCGACAGCCTGTCTCCCTGCACGAGGCTGGAGCCAGACGCCTTGGTTTCCGCCCACTGAGCTGCTTCAGCACAAGCACAGGGCGTGTGACAGGGCACTCCTGGGCCCTGCACAGCTGTCCTGGGTGACTGAGCCGGGCCACCTACCGTGGGGACCTTGCTGCTGGCCTCCAGTGTGGCGTGGCTGGAGCCTGGCTGCAGAGCCGCCGGCTCCTCTGGCTTTCCCTGGCCTTGCTCCTGTGCAGGGACATGGCCGTCCTTCAGGTCTTCAGGAGAACGCTGAGGGGCCCCGTCCCCGACAGCTTCACACTCCGGCTCCTCAGCACCTTGGCCCTGGCGTCCAGGCGGGTCCTCTCCGTTTCCATCGCTCTCCCCCTTCTCCGTGGGCTCTGCCCTCTCCTTCTCCTCTCCGGCTGCCTCCTCCTGCACCCGGCCCCCTGGCCCAGCCCCTCGCTCTGGGCTGGCCGTTTGGGGAGGTTCTGGGGCCTCCTGTGCTGGGCTCTGGCCAGCTGCTGCTGAATTCTGCCCGGCCTCCCCTTGCTTGGCCTCCCCTGGGGTGCTGGCCTTCTCCTCTGGCTTCCCATGGCATCCTGGGGTTCCCCTGTCCCCCTCTCCCTCTGGCCCCTGGCTGGCCGGGGGCGCCCCTGGGGCCCTGCTCCTGGCTGTGAAGACTTCATCCCCGTTCTCCTCCCGGGTGCCGTTCTCCTGAGAGGCCCTGAACTCCCCCAGCTCCCCGCAGTCCGACTGCGACCTTCGGAACCGCCTGGAGGGAGGCCGCCTTTTTATGGAGCCCCTTGTCCGCACCTGGAGGAAAGGATAAAGAGAAATCACCCGGAACCTGTGAGAGGGCCCAGAGGGCTGCTGTCCCTCCAGGGCCCGCTGGTGCTCCCCAACTGCCCCCCACCGTGGCTCAGCTTCCCCGAGAAGCCCTCGTGCCTGTCCCCTGAGGCTGCTCTCCATCAGGAGAAACAAGGTGGCCGGAACGGCTCTGCCCCGGGAAACGCCCCCAGTTTGGTGTCTAACTTGGCAATTTTGTGGGAAGATCTTTTTAAGGCTGTTCCTACAAGCCGTCAGTTCTTCAAATGCTCTGAGTGGACTCGGTCGCCGGGCTTCTTCCTACACTGACCAGCTGGACACAATCTGGCTCTAGTTTGCGAGAGTCGGGCTTTAACATTTTTTAGGCAAAGGAAGAGGCCTGAGGTCTGGAGATGACCTGGCCCTGGTCAGGGACCTCACGGCCGAGCTGGACGGCCGTGACCAGCTTCCTCTCTTGCCCCGGCTGGGCCTGCCTTGGCCCTCACAGCTGGCTCACACTGCAAAGCTGAGCGCGGATCCTTTGCTTCCTGGGAGTCAGGCCCAGGTCGGGGGCCCTACCTCAGCAGCTCGGTGTGATCCTCTGCATCAAAAGCAGGTAGGGCTCAGGATCAGGCTTCATCTGGGACTCTAGGCTTTGCCCTACGTGACGGAAGCCATGTCTCCTTTAACACTATGTCAACTAACTGTTTTGTCACCCTATTTCCCCGCTGATGACATTTGGTATCTGTCGATCCCAGCTCCTTGGCTGAGGCTTGGAGTAAGCTCTTGTTTCTCAGGGGACTTCCCTGGACCTGCTCCCTAGCTGCTGTCGGAGCCCCTGGGTGTGTGACCGGGCACTGTCCTGCTCCCTGCTGCTCCCTGTGGATGTCCTGTGGGAAGGACGGCTCTCCACCGGGCGCCAGCTGCCTCGGGTCCCAGCACCCTGTGGTGAAGGACTCCGCTCTGTGCCCAGGCAGCAGCTCAAGCCTGCCCGTCATCGGGTCAGAACAGGGAATCCTGCGGTCCTGGTGGCCCGGCAGCCCTCTGTGTGAGCCACAGGTCGGGTCCTCAGGTCCCTGCCTGTGCAGCTGGGCTCCATTCTGAATCCCCACGCTCTCCATAAAGCAGAGCCTACTCTGTCCCCAGACTGTGTCAGGCCACCACGGGGACAAGGCAGGGAGGGAGGAGAGAGGCGGCTAGCTGGAAGGTGAGCTTAGTTCAGGAGTCACTAGTGGGGGAGAGGAGTGGTTTCTTCCCCTCCAGGACAACAGGGGAGGGGACATGCAGGGTCACCTGGCCCAGCGTGGCACCTGGGAACCGGAGTTTACCTTATTGTAACAGGGCAGGTGACTACCTTCGGGTGGCTGGTCGAAGCTGACAGGCACCTCCTCTGTCTCGCTAGGCCGGGGCCGCACGCCAGGACTGCTGGGGGTGGACGGGGGGCTGTGAAACGGTGACACCATGACCTTGAGTCCAGGACTCTTGGGCGAGGCCCCGGGCAGCAGAGCCGCTGGATCGAAGGTTAAATTGGCCTGTTGAGAGAAGGTGAGGAGTTTCAAATAGGGGTGGGAGAGGACCAGGGCTTCTACTTGGGCTTGTGGGTCACTGGCTCGGAACTGGCTGAGACAGGTTAACTCGAGGCTTCTCCTGTTACTTGGCAGCCAGTTCTCTGGGGCCACAGCATGGCCTGCTCCCTCTCTCCAGCCACCTGGCTTGCCACACGCTGTCTTCCAATGCTGGCGGGTCCAACCAAGGGGCCGGCACTGGTACCGCCCCAGCTGGTAGCCCAAACAGCAGCTGCTAGGCACTGCAAGTCCCCGGGTCTCGCGGAAGGTCGGTCCCCACCGCTGCCAGCCACTCAGCAGCAGCTGCTAGGCAGCGGAGGCCCCGCTTGGCACTGGCAGAGGTCACCTCGGCAGCAGCCCTGCGCGTGGGGTCTGTTCTCATGAACACATCGGGAACCTGGCCGGGACCTCTCCCCGGAGCTGGGCCTCAGCCTCCCGGTTCCCTCCTGGTGGGTGGCCAGCATGGTGGCCACCGCTGCCTCCTCTCAGGTGGGAGGGGCAGAACACACCGGCACGCGCGTGCCTCACTGGGAAGTCACGGTGCAGGTGAGTCTGCATCCAAATCGCCGAGGGTGACCAAAGGGAGGGTTGGGCGGGGGGGGCGGGTAGACCCCAACCCACCCACTGCCATGGCAGGAGGCATCAATGAAGAGAGTGGGCGAGTGGCCCCCTGCTGCCCTCTCTGTGTGTCCTCCAGACAGCAGTGGGACCTCACCAAGAAGAGACAGACCAGGACAGGCAGCTGCAACCGGAGGTCCATGGGTTCTCGGTCTTGCACTTCACAGCTGCTGTGTGACCTTCTGCAGCCCAGGAGCCCGAGTCTCAGTTGCTATCTTTCCATTCCTTTTAGGCTGAACTCCAGAGTCTTTATAGAGGACCCTGTTTGCTGCTTCTGTGGCTCACAGCTCTCACCCTCCTGACTGCCCTGGGCCCCCACCTCCTCCAGCCAAGGCTGCTGCCCTGGAGAACCCTCGGGACTTACAAACTGCAGAGTGCTCACGAGTTTAAGAAAGCATCAGTATTTTCACTGTGATCCTAATAAAGGATGAATAAGGCAAGAACGAATCGTGGAAATAATTAAATGTGGCCAGGTGTAGTGGCACACACCTGTAATCCCAGCAGCTCGGGAGGCTGAGGCAGGAGGATTGTGAGTTCAAAGCCAGCCTCAGCAACAGCAAGGTGCTAAGCAACTCAGTGAGGCCCTGTCTCTAAATAAAATGTAAAAAAGGCTGGGGATGTGGCTCAGTGGCCAAGTGCCCCTGAGTTCAATCCCTGGTACAAATAAATAAATAAACCAAAAATGAAATGTATGAAGTATTCAAGTGAAGAAGCGACACGCTGAGCCCAAGCCAGGTGAAGAAGCAGCACGTAATCCGTGCCTCGGGGAGGCTCAGCCCTCAGAGCCGTGGGAGTCGAGCAGGGCCAGCTCAGGGCTGGGGGCAGAGCGCCTTCTCCTGGCTGTTAAAGGAGGCTCCCCGCCCCTCCAGACTTTTCGCAGGGAAATCCCTCCCTGTGGCCGCTTGCAAGTAAAGTGGATCTTACTAATCAACCACACAGCCACAAAGAGAGCTGGCCTTTGAATCAAGGACACTCTAGTGAAGAGAATCCAGTTCCGAACTGATGCAGTAGGGCATGAGCGGAAAACCCACGCTGACGGTGGCTTCCCTGTCCCCTCCCCAACCCGTTCCCCATGGGCTTTGGCTGACATCCTTAAGGAGGCTCAACAGTTACACGTCCAGACCTCATTCTGAACTCGCCAAGTTTTCCAAAAAGGCTCATTAGTGACTGGGAAAGGGAACGGACGCACAACAGGGAACAGAACTTGGGAACTAATCTGGGGCCCTTGGACCAGAGTGTGGAGGGCCGCAGGGAGGCGGAGGCAGGGTCCCCGGCTCCACCCCTAGCGGGCTGCCAGGAGGAGTTCTGGAGTGCTGGGCCCTTCTAGATCCCTGGAGGGTCTGTGGGGCCCGGAGCCTAGAGTACAGGACAGTACCTCGGCCCCCAAAGACCAAGGTTGAGAGGCCCTGATGGATCAGCAGGAGCTGGCCCACCACACACCAGATCTCGGCCTTTCCCTCCATGTCTCTCACTGTGTCAGGTGTGAAAACCTTGTCTCCCCCACAAGATTCTGAGCTCAGGGCAGAGTCGGCGGTTCATGGACACCCCATGGGCCTGCCCAGCCGTGGGTGCAGTGTGCAAGGGTTCTGGGCACACAGTGGAGGGGCAGGGCAGAATGCCGGCCAAACAAGGGATCTGGTCAGGTCCCCGAAACACACAGTGGCTCTGTTGCAGCCCTGAGTAAGGCTGAAGTGGTGTGTGGCTGGCTCAGGCCTTTGAGCAGAGGGCTCCGTCTTCCTGGAGTGTTTCTTGCAGTTAAAGTGTACTTTTCCAAGACTCTCGAGGCACCCATTACCTGTCCACTCATGCATGATGTGGTCCTTGTTAGATCTTTGCCCCAGGTGAAGGCTGCCAGTCTCGCCCTTTAGGGCAATTTGGTCATTAACTGGTTACAGGGGACAACTATCCAGGTGAAAATGGGGAGCGCCCCTTGGAGACCTGCAACTTTGGGATGAGAAATGGAAGCAAGCGAGCAGCGGGCCACGCACTCTGCACCTACCTGGAGCTTCTCGATCAGGGGCGAGCTCTTCACCTTGACTTTGGGCGGGTGGCCAGCACTGGGCGGTGATTTCTGTGGAACAAATGGACCAACACGAGCAAGTGAGCGAGGTGAAGAGGGCGGGCTCTGTGGAGCCCAGAGCCGGGTGGAGGACAAGAGGAGACCGGCCTTCCTCACCCCGCTGCTTATTTCCATGCCAACCTGGCCTCAGGCCCAGGCAGGCCGGTCCCCCATCTCACCACCAGCAAGACCACTTGAGCCCAGGAAAAGTCAGGGCAGAGTCCCCTGTGCCAGGGAGAATGACCTCATTGTGTCTGTGGGCAGCACATGGGCACCTGCTAACCTCCAGCAAGGTGAGTCACCCCCTGGGGGCACAAGAGGCAAGGCCTCTGTTGCACTCAGCTCTTCTGGAAGCCCCCGCCTGTGGCGCTGTTTAGAACTCTCCATTCTCCCAGGCACTTTAACCAAGTGGACGTGGATTGTCGCGTTCCAGCCACCGAGTGAGTTGTATGAGGGTGGTTCAGCTCCTGCCCGTGAGGCAGCCGCCCTCGTGTCACACGTGTCACAGGTGTGTCTGGGATGAGCTCAGGCCAGGAACCCTGTCTGCCTCTGGACTCTACAGTTCTATGAGATGGACTCCTTGCTTCTTGTAAACTCCCTGCAGCCAGGCGAGAGGGGTGACGGTGGGGGTAGGACCATCTGGTGGGGACGACGACTCTCCCTCTTCCAGGCGTGGAAGGGTTTCTCCTGAGCTTGGGCCCGACGTGTCCTGCCTGCCCTCAGCCAGGTGCTCATTTACCTGAACCTGAGGAAGGAGAAGGCTGACCTCTGAGGAGCACTCTGAGGTGCCCACAGAGTGAGAGGGCTTTATTTTAGTGACACGAAGAAGGAACAGGAGGGAGCCTGCCTCAACAGATCCCTGTCACCTTTAAGGCCCATCACCAAGGGGGAGCATGCTGAGGAGGGATGACCGCTGGCCGGGACATGGCACCTTTTTAATTCTCGCTTTAGGAGGACCAGGAGGGTGCCCTGGCCACAGCCTCCCCTCCCCAGTGGGGTGAAATGGACGATGCTGAGGACTCTCCCGGCCTCCCCTGCCTCCACATCAGACATGCTCCTGGAGCAGCCTTCTGCCGTGGTGAGCACAGAACTCCCAGTCCCAGTGGGCTGGTCCTCAGCAGCTGTGCTTTGTGGTTGGAATGCGTGTCTGAAGGTGCCGTTTCAGAATCTGCAGCAACAATTTTGCTACAAAGCTCACTCTAGGTAATGCTATAAATGCCTCCCTGACTGAAAACTGCCTTCTAAAGACAGCATAAATTCAACAAATGCCATCTGTTAGCCACAGGACAGTACTGGGGATCCAGTCTCTGTGCCCAATGCACCAGTAATTTGAACATCAAGTCGTGACTGCAATTCCTGGGACTGACAGCAGGTGGCAGCATTTCCTTTACAGTTTAACAAGGCTGACAACGGGTGGGGGACACAGCCTTCCATTCATGCCTGTGTATTACGTGCTTAGTGACATGCCAATCATGTCCCATACTGTCCAGCCCAGGAGGTCAGCGCACCATAGAAGCTGTGGACCTAAATTTTCATATGGGAGTGTTTTTCAGCCTTTTTCTGAGCAGATGAGGCAGGATCTGTGACTGCATTAAACATCCTGGTTCTTGCAGAAAAGGCAAACCCCTGGTCACTTTCCTGCAGGAGGGGCCCTGCAGCCAGCAGGTGCCTCCAGGGGCTGAACCCATGGCCTCAGGCCCCAGCGGGCATGGGGAGAGGGCAGGGATGAAGAAGGGTGAAGCACAGGGCTCAGGGCACATGTCTGCGATCCCAGAGGCTCAGGGGGCTGAGGCAGGAAGACCGCAAACTTCAGCAGGTGGCCACCTGGACTACTTGGCCAGACCCTGTCTCAAAAATGAAAAACAGCCAGACACGGTGGCACACGCCTGTAATCCCAGCAGTTTGGGAGGCTGAGATAAAAGAATCGCGAGTTCAAATCCAGCCTCAGCAAAAGCGGGGCGTTAAGCAACTCAGTGAGACCTGTCTCTAAGGTAAATACGAAATAGGGCCGGGGGTGTGGCTCAGTGGTGGAGAGCCCCTGAGTTCAGTTCCCGGTACCCCCTCCAAAATGAAAATAAGAAAGTGCTCCGTGGCAAAGCACCCTGGTTCAATCCCCAGGACCACACACACACGAAGAAGGAACAACGTGGCCCTTCCTAGCACTGAGCTTTGGGAAGGAGGGCAGCCTGACCGGGGCCTCCCCCTGCCAGGCCCTGAGGTTCCTGGCATCTCCCAGAGCACAGGAGAAGCAAGGCCTGCAGCCTCTACCCATCCAGAGGGACAGAGCTGGCTGCCCACTTGATTTCTATATGAGTTTCCAGGTGACAAAAAGTCACCGATTCCTGGAGACAGGGTCCTTCCTAGGTTCAAGCGGCCGGTCACTCCAGGCAGGGCTTTCAGTCTGACATCTACCCTTCCCTCCCAGCACCAGGAGGGGTGCCCCAGGGGCTGGACCTCGAAGCTCACTTCAGGAAACCCAACACCCTCAACCCGACCTCGCTCCTTCTGTTCCAGCCGGTAAGCGCTCCCAGCCTCCGGGGTTCTCTGGTGAGTGATTCTGTCCTTACTTTGTGAAGAAGAAAGCAGTCAGTATGGTGTGCCGACCTCCCGGGCCAGGCCCAGGTCCTCAGAGCACACTCTGCATGGCCACAGCCAGCCTGCAGCGGCAGGGACCCGAGTCCTGGGGCAAGGCCGCGGGGAGAAGCTGGCCTCTGTGGGGAGCTGCTGTGTGTGTCTCGTGATGGCGTGGGCTGGAACCCCACGAAACCCCAGCACCGTCACGCTAGCGCCCGGAAGGCCAGCGGGAGACCCTGTGTTTTGAAAACTCTGCTCCTTGGGGTTCAGTGGAGGGAGGGAGGCACTCTCAGAGCAGCAGGGCCCCCTGCCCTCCTCCCGCCTGACCGCTGCAGCCATGTTTTGTTCTTTTCTGATGGGCTTCTGCTTAGCAGCCTCCGGGGGCCAGAGCATTCACCTCGCCCCGTCCCATGGCGGAGGAGAGGACGCAGGCGCCACAAAGTTCGCCCCAATTCACGTGGTATTCGGTATGCGTGCCAAGATGCTGGCCCCGAGACAGGAGGGGAGGAAGCAGAGGTGGCCCGAGAGGGTCGGGGAGCTGCACTGTCCCCGGCTCACTGGCTCTGTTCTGGGGTCGGCCTGCAGGTGGGACGACAGGACATGCAGATGCGTTCCTGGCACTGCAGGTCCTTGGAGGAGTCTTTCACAGCTGCCGCTGGGCCAGGGAGGGTGTGCAGGCGGGGTCTGCTGCCCCGTGGACTGTCTGCCAGAGCCTTGGTGTGCGCGGCCCGGCTCCTGACCTCAAGGCAGCGGGCCTCTGTGCCGTTTTCCTCAGTGATCACCACAGCGCTGGCCTGCTCTGTGGAGGGCCCTGAGGCCACACAGCCCCTCTGGGCACCTCATCTCGAACCCACCCGTCAGGCCTGGGAACAGGACCTGGCTTCCCTGAAGCTTGACCTGGTGCGGTGACAGTAGGTGGCCCACTCTTGGCTGGCATCCTGAGGTTGGAAGAGTGGTGCTCCTGTCCTCGGCGGACCATGCAGGGGCTCAGTGGGCACTGAGACTCCCAGGCAAAGGATCCAAGGAGCAGAAAGAAGAGAGATTCTGGGTGGCTGTGTAGCCAGCGTTGAGCTCATACACCACATGTGCAAGGCCTTGGGTTGTCCCCAGCACCATAAAACCCCAAATGCTAACAATAAACAAGCAACCAGGAAAAAAAGTTAAAAAGAGAGATTCATCCTTGAATGTGAAACGGAGAAACTCCCTGCCCAGACCTCGGAGGCCTGCAAGTGCGATGGCTGTGCCTCTTCCTGAGGAGGGGGAGACCCCCAGGACGGCCTGCGCCCAGCGACACTTACCTCCTCACCATTCTGGCCCAGCTCTACCCTGGGGGGGAACAGGGGGAGGGAGCAGGGTGGTTTCCTTCTTGTTGGCTTAGTGGCTGGTGTCTAGAGGGAGGGCGACAGACGGACACACGGAGAGAGAAAGAGACAGCCCATCAGGCCACAGGGAGGAAGAGGAAGGAGTGGACGCCACCGCGGGCAGGAGAGTTGAGGGTGTCTGGAGAAGGCCGGATGGAGGAGGCCGTGTGGGTGGGCTGCCCAGCGCCATGTGGCCGCTCTGGGACTCTGCATCTCCGTCCTTGCAGAACCCTCCTTCCCCCGACTCCCTGACTGGACCAGCACCTCAAAGTGACAGCCGCATCCAGCCTCTTTAGCTTTTTAGGCAGTGCCACCACCTGAGATCCATGTCATCTCCTCTGTCCCTTAGGACGTCCCTATGAAGTCTAGGAATTATGGGCCCAATTTTTCAGTTGAGAAAACCAAATATCAAAACAGCGCACCTGAGAAGGTGAGCATGCTGCCAGGGGCCTCCCACCTGCTCCTCTCCGCTCACCCCTGGTCCCTGAGGCTGAGAAACGGAGCCCCGCTCTCCCCAAAGCCACCGCGTCTCCACACTTCCCCCTGAGCAGGACTCCCTCCGTCCCCCATGCCCGGCTTGCTCCAGGAAGTGCGTCCTCTCGTCCTGCTCAACCCGGGGCCTGCTCCTGACTTCTGGGGGAGGGCAGCCCTGGGAGCCTGGCCTGGAAGCGGTGCAGGGGCTCAGTCTGGGCCAGTGGAAGAGCCAGAGGAGCCCGCTCTGTGAGCCTGTTCTCAACACCTCCGGTCCCTGCTCACTGTGGCGTGCAGGCCTGCTCAGGCTCTGCCCCCAGGGCACATTCCCGGATGAGGGACCCCTCTGGCTTCTTTTCCTAATTTGGCCATAGCAAGCCTCTCCCTCCTCTTCTCAGCCCGAGCAGACTCCCCTTCCCTCCCAGAACAGGAAGCCGGGAGGCTCACCTCTGTGGCTGCAGCCGCCTGCTCCCGAAACCGCCCGGCCAGCTGGGCCACCGACGGGGGTGCTGAGCTGTCCACGTTGGCATTTGTCTTTGCTGGCCTTTCCTGGCAAGCCAAAGAGAAGCAAAAGTCGATCAGCAAGTGGGCTCTTGGCTCTTCAGAGTCTCAGTGCCAGTGCCACGAGGGGCACTGTTTTGTGGCCACCAGCAGGAATGCGGTGACAGGGTAGTAATGGTGTTCTGCCGTCGGCGCCTGTATTCAGGAATTTTTACAAAGCCTGCGGTCAACCACGATTAGCAAATATCTACACTACACTCTGCCCCATCTGCCTCTGGGGGCCTGGGGGCAACTGCATTGGTCCTGTCCTGGAGGGGGCCCAGGGATGTGGGGGTAGCACAGGCCAGGGTTTCTCCTTCTGCAAGGACCCAGAGAAGGACTGTGTGCACAGTGCACAGTGGTTTCCATCCGTCACCAGCAACTTTCACAAATGGGGGCTGCAGCGTGCATTTAGAGACATTGGCCTTTGTTGGTAGGAAAGGGGTGAGCAGACGTCCCTGCTGAATCTCACACACACGGGCCTTGGCTTTCCTACTTAATCGACTGCCTTGGGCAAAGAGTTGTTCCGCAGACACCTGCTGCACTAGGAAGGTGCCTCAGGAGGCAGTGGCCTGCAGGGTGAGAACCAGGCCGCTGAGACTCCACCACGGACTTGCCCCTCCTGCCTGGCTGGACCTCTCCCTGCCTCCACGGGGCTGCAGGTGCCCCTCGCAGGGCTGCTCTGTGGGTCAGCTGAGAGGCAGGAGGCCTGGAGCCCTCCGAGTGCTTCAGGGTTCTTGTCATCCCGCCTCCAGCTCGGGTCCCTGCTCACTGTCAAGTCCCAGGCCAAGACGTGACATGACATGTCACCGAGCTGTGTCCCGAGGCAGGGCAGGCAGCAGCCCTAGGAATGCCCCTTGCTCCCACCTCGTTACCCGTGGCCTATGACACCTGGTTTTAATGACACTTTCAGGTCTGATCCCAGGCAGCAGGCTTCACCCTCTTTGTCACAATGGGGACATTTCTTAGACTGCAAACTCCCTCTGCCACCTCCCTCCTGCACATCTAGCTGGAAACTGGGAGGACTGGCAGCAGTTTGAGAAAGTCCACCTCTGCTGCCCAGCGGTCTTGTGGCCCTAAAGACAGGCTCCAGCAGCAGGCGCCCAGCACCCCCACGGGGCACACACCCATTTCCTTGGGCCTCCTTTTTGTGTGACAACTGTCTCAAAGCGTCCTGGCTTCTCCCACCCCACCAGCCCCCACCAACTCCCAAGAGTGGAGTCAAGGGGCCGGGCTGGGGCTCAGCAGCGGAGCGTTTGCCTCCCTCGTGTGAGGCCCTGGGTTCGAACCTTAGCACCACATAAAAATAAACAAAATAAGGTATTGTGTCCATCTACCACTAAAAACTAAAATAATAATAATAATATTAATATTAATAATAATAATGGAGTTAAGTAAATGAGAGGAATTTGGAGAAGATTCCTTCAGAGGCGGAGGGTCTCCAGGGTCAGAGAACTGCTGACCTTGAGGGCTGTGCTGGGCAGCGACCTCGTCCTGTTGCCAGTTCACCTGCATTCCGACCCAACACCCACACTGGCTTCACTGAGAGGTTGAAAGACTCACTTCACTGCACTGAGGACGCCAGACTGCCTCTAGTGCTGGACAGACGTCCAGCCCCCCACCCCGGGAGCGCCCCACGGGGCAGGGCTCACAGGACTCACACCTGTTGGGCCTTCTCATCTGCCACGTCAGAGACCAAAACCTGTCCTCCTGGAACAGGGACAGCCTCTGGGGCGGGCGTGGTGAACCGAGCCACTCTTGGCCCACTGGCCTGTCCATCTGTCCAGCTTCCTGCCCACAGGACCTATCGGCCTCCATTCACTGCTATTTCTTGCGCGGGTCCTGCTGACAGCGCACTCTCCCTCGGCCTCCCGGGCGCCGGCGCTGGTGGCCCAGCACACATTCCAGTTAAAAATAGAGCAGGGCAGGAATCAAAACCTCCTCCCGAACTTCCCTGTCTGGAAACCGGGCTTGGCAGGGGCTCAGCAGCAGCACCGTAAGGCTCTGGGTGCATTTAGAGCTGAAGAGCTGGGTCGCAGGGAAGACTAGCCCCTCTATGTGTCTTCCTGGGGCCCAGGGAGTCGGCCTTAGGCTCCAGGACGCCAGAGCTCTTGGGTCCGGCAAGCCCAGACACCTGCCATCGTGCTGTGCATGATCGCTGCCTGCTGCCCACTGGGCCCATGAGAGCCCAGAGAGAACAAGTAACTTAGGCAGAATCACACAGGAGAAGCCGAGGGGAATAAACGTTTGTCCCAACACCCGATAAGACAGCAATGGACGTCCGTTAAGAGGTGGAGCTGGGGGAATTGCCCTGGAAGCTGAAAAGGTGCTATGTGAGCTCCAAATTGTCATCAGCCTCCGGGTGCCAGGTGCAGGGGAGGAGGCATGGTCTTGGGGATGGACAGGCTGGCGGCTCAGTCTGCCTGAGGCTCTGCCTGCATTTCTGCCGGGCAATTCTGCAGCAGACCAGTAACCTCCCTGTCCAGCTCTGCCCCTGGCCAGCTCCCGCTCAACCCTGGGCTGCTGGGGAAGCCACACTCTCACCTGAACCGTGGTCTTAGTTCTGGGAAGGACTCAGCGTCCCCGCTTACTCCCCGGCTTTCCTGAGACCCCTCGGGCTCCCCGGCATTGCATTTCCTTTCCCGGCCCACGAGGAACCGGGCAAGGGCCTGAGGTGGGAGGTGCTCACCAAGGCTGGTCCCTTCCCCTCCTGCCTCCCACCTGGTCTGCCAGCGTCGGGGCCTGGGCACTGGCTCCAGAGGCCAAGGACACCCAAAGCTCACCCCTGGCAACACAGTGTCTTGGACCCTTCTCCCTGTCCTGCCTTCGTCCTCCCTGGCCTCCGCAGACTGTGGCCTTCCCTCCATCCTCCGGGACCTGATGTGCGTGCTAAGCCTTCCTGTCTCCATGCCCACCCGCCAGCTTAGACAGACGGCTGCGGGTGCTGTCCGGCTGCGGGTGCTGTCCGGCTGTGCCGAGGCCAGAGGAAAGTCACCTCTGTGTTTTCTTTCCATTCCTTTGGCACGTTCTTCTGAAGGAACCGAGGAGCTGTGGCTGGACTGCGTGGACCATGGTTGCCATGTGGAGGAAACACGGTTTGGAAGCTGCTGACTGTCCACACAGGGCAGCCTTTGTGGAGCCAGAGTGGGCTCTCCCTCGTCTGCCTCTGCTGCTCCTCCTCCAGGGTCCAAGTGCCCCACAGCCTTGGGCCTCGGCTTAGGGAAACGAGAGGCTCTGCCTGGCCGAGGACCCTTGCTCTTGGCCAGAAGGAAGGTTCTCTTGCTCAGGAGAACAGGCCAGAGGACCAGAGCCTCCACGGCAGATGGCGGCTCGCCCCCTCCATCCTGCAGGACGGCAGAGCCGAAGACAGCCTTGTGGGGGCCACCCCTCCCAGACGCCAGCCGTCACCTAAGAGGCACCCCGGTGTCACTTCAGGCTCAGGTGGTCGGTCTCTCATTGGCATACTGCTGGTCCTTTAACTCTTCCCTTTCCTCTACTCCCCAGCCATCCAGGGTTGAGCACCGCCATTGCAGGATGACGGGAAGGCCCCGGGACTGGACCTCGTAGGCCCCTCGCCCTACCTGCCGACCCAGAGCACCTGCGGCTACAGTGGGCGTGTCCCCGAGAGGCGGACCACTTCTAGCAGGGAGGCTGGCAGAGGGGCGGAGCACCTTGCTCTTCAGGTTAGTAAGTACTGGCACAGGGACCCTGCGCTTGGTCTCCTCAGGGGGTACCTGCTCACACCTCAAGTGCCCACTCAGGACACGGGAAGTCCCGGGGACAGCCGTCCCTGAGGCTGCACCGCAGAAGGCCGGGGTGGGGGAGGGTTGGCTCCAGAAGGACACTCCTGAGCAGACACTGCACCGAGGGGCATTTCAGTCTGTTCCAGGGAGCCTGGAACCTGCCAGCAATCAAGCCCCGTGGCTCAGGGCGATGAGGCTGCCATGGATCCAGGCTTCCAGCACAGGCCTCGAAGCAGGGGACCACCCCGGATTGTGTGGGTGGCCCTCGTGATCACAGGGGCCTCAGAGTGCAGGAGATGGCAGGAGAGTCAGGGTCAGAGGGAGGGAGGTCAGAGAGACTGGCCACTGCTGCTGACTTGGAGCCTGGAGGAAGAGGCCAGAAAGCCACCAATGCAGTGCTCCTCAAAGTCCAAGGCCACAGGGCTCCTCCCAGAGCCTCCAGAGGAGCACGCCCTGGGACGACTTGGTGCAGAGAAATGTCCTGAACCGTCCGATGCTAAGTTGCAGCGTGCAAGCCCTAAGGGGCGGTCACTTGTTACAGCAGCCACGGGCACTGAGACCTCAGGCCGCTCTGAGCTCCGGGAACAGTGCAGCGGGGAAGAAGAGGCCGTCCCTGCTCCTCTCTGGCACCCACCCTCCTGATAGAGGCTGGAGAGATGGTGCTGGGCACCACTGCCCACCTCCAGGGAGGTCACGAGGGGGAGAGGAGGCGGAGCAGACCCAGTGGAGGCTGCTGTGGTCTGGAGCCACGGGTGAAAGGCTCAGTGGGAGCTCCCGACCTGGCCAGAGGTGCCACGCGGCTTCCAGGAGGAAGGGGCCTCAGAGTGCAGGAGATGGCAGGAGAGTCAGGGTCAGAGGGAGGGAGGTCAGAGAGACTGGCCACGCTGGCTAGGAAGCTGTCCGGAGCCGGCCCCAGGCCAGCGAGCCACGGGGTGGAGGGGAGGAAGCTCCGAAGCCTGGAGCAGGGCTCCCAGGCCTGAGAGGCAAGATGAGGCTGGGGAGGAAAACAGTCTGAGTGCGGAGGCCTCCCAAGTCATTGGAGGGTTTTAAGCAAAAGAGCACCGCCGTGGGGGTTATCTGCAGCACTCTCTGGCTGCAGTGTGGGGACTGGGCAGGCTGGGGACAGGGCTGGCAGGCATGAGGCAGGGAGGCCCATTTGGAGGCCACAGTCCTTGTTACAGAAGAGGAAGACCAAGCAGAAGGTAAAAAGTGGCAAGCACACTGGCTCCAGAGGGCAGGCCCTCTGAGCTGAGCTTCCGCTGGTCTGGTCCAGGGAGCTGGGAGCTGCATTGGGAAGGAGTGGGCAGAGGCCAGGAAGTGAAGAGCGGCCAGTCGCTTCTGGGGTGAGGGCAAGGAGGCAGCCTCTGGCAAGGGCTTGAGGTCCAGGAGGCCCCGCTCTAGATGTGCAGCTCCCTGTTGCTGTGGGGGCTCAGACCCTTTCGCTGTGGGCCTTTCTAAGGGGAGGAGCAAGAATCAAGAGCGAGCCTGTGGCCCACCTTCGGAGGGCCGGGAAGAGCTGCAGACCTGCAGTTGAGCGAGTCAGCCATTCAGAGGGTGTTAGAGTGCCGCCACCAGCCAGGCCGGGCCGGTCTAGGGACCTGAGAGCAGGGCAGGTGCCCGGGTCTGATGGGCCTAGAGGGGAATGGAGAACAAGGAGTCAGCAGAGGCGGAAGGCTGCGCCCAGCGGTGGCCCTGAGCACACGGCTGTGCCTGGGAATGACTCAACATCTTAGGATGGCTTTGGGTGGAGACTGGTGCTGACACTCTATGGACCTCAGGGGTCTGAGAAACTGAAGAGGATGGTAGCCTAGCCTGGCATGGGGTCAGAGGAGCTAGAGGTCATTAATAGGACTCAAAGGGTCAGTGCCATGGAGACATTAACAGGACTTGCTAGAGGTTGGGTCTGCAGAATCCCTTAAGGCCTGTGTGGTCCCCTGCTTCGGTCCCCAACCTGGCACCCTTGGGAGACGGCAGACTTTAAGAGGGGGGCCTAGGGGAGGTACTTAGGTCACAGGGAGGTGTGCCCTTGAAGGGACTGTGGGGCCCAGAGTTGTCCTCCTCTTTTGTCCTGGGCCACAAGGTGAGCCAGCTGGCCCTGGACTTCCTCCACAGACCCAGAAGCAATGGCACCAATCGTGAACCGTAACCCCCAAACCGCGAGCTCAAATACACCCTTCTCACTGTCAGTTGATTATCTCAAGTGTTCGCCCGGTAATGGAGGCTGACGAGCACAGGCCGCGAGGGCCATTTAGGAGGAAAGACTGACCAGAGTGGGTGACTGAAGGGGTAGGAATAGGCAGAGTCAAGATCCACCTGCGTTTCCAGCTCGGGCTTCTGCAGGATGCGGAGAAAAGGAGCCCAGGCAGGAGCAGGGCTGGAAGGAGAGAGGAGAGAGGTGGCAAGTCACAGGAGGTGAGCTCACAGCAGTCGGTGGACGCAGCAGAGGGCGAGCTCAGAGCAGGCAGTGGGCGCAGCAGAGGGCCAGGCAGACCCAAAAGCACCTGCTGGGGATCCTTGGAGTCAGAGGAGCCCATGGTTGAACCTTGGCCATGCTACCAGGTGGGAGAGCCTGAAGACTGGCGGGTGTGAAGGCCGCAGAGGAGGTGGGCGGGTGGCTGAGGAGAGGCCGCAGGCTCCAGGCCTCCTGGGCCACGTCTCTGAAATTCCTCCTCTCGCCAGAGAGCACAGAGGTGGAAGCAGGACAGCTTCAGCCTGGTGGCCAGTGGTTCTTGGACTGTGGGGTTCTTGTGGCTGAGGGCAAAGGGGAAGAGTGGGGAGGGGTGCCCCAGGACAGAGGTACATGTGATCGGGACGGGTCCCCTCAACTGCACCTGCAGTGAACGTGCAATTCCTCTGTCTCCACAGTGTGTCCAGAAACCCCTACCTGTGCACTCTCACGCTGGTCAGTTCAGTAGCACACCTGGTGAGCCAGGGCCACCTGCTCCAACACCCTTGGCTGGGGGTCGCTCCTCTGCCTGAGCAGGGGCCCGGGGACAGTGAGCCCTTCAGGCCACAGGAGGCCTGCCTTCTGAGATGACAGCAAGCGTCCAGGCCAGGCCTGCCTCCCAGTCCGCCGCGGCCTCTCCTGGTTCAGCCCTCCCTCCCGGCTGCCTGCAGAGCAGCTCTGGAGCTGGACTCAGTGGGGAGGCCCTCAGGACAGGGGGCCCTCGGGTGCCTGCCCTGGAGAGGCTGGCATGATGCCCTGCAGGGGACGAGGGCAGCCCAGGGTGGCATCTTGGCCATGTTACAGGTGGAAGAGGCTGAACACTGGCAGGGCGTGAAGGCCACAGAGCAGGTGGACAGGGGCGGGCGAGGAGACGTTAGTGTCATCATGTGACCTGAGGGTGGAGGTCACATGATTCCAGGAGCTACAGTGTCCTGAGCACCCGCCATGTGCCTGCCCCAGGTGGGTGGTCTCACCTGATTCACACAACTGCACCCAAGGGAGAGTCACCGAGGCACCCCGCTCAACTGAGGAAGCTGAGGCCAGAGAAGGTGGGTGTCTCTCCAAAGCCTACAGAATGAGTGGTGGTAGCAGAGTTCGCTCAGGCCTCGGGGTCTGTGCCATGGATGAGGACTTTCAGGAGCAGCGTCAGGAGGAGCCGGGCAAGGGCCACGGGGCATCTGGCTCTGCGGCTGCATATGTGCTGACCCGGAGGGGACAGGTCAGGCAGGGAAAGATGCCCAGGGCACAGCTGAGGCCTGCTTCATGTCGCTGAGGCAATGTGAGCAGGAAGTGAGTGAAAAAAAGGTTTTCCACTTGATCAGTATGTGCTGCACATGGCCTAGAATATGGCCATGTGATCAAACTGACCGTCCCTTGAAAATTCCAGAAGCCCTAACCTCATAGGTCAAGGCTTTTCCATATTATTTTTTCCAGGGATGGGGACTGAACTCAGGGCCTTGTACATTCCGGGCAAGCAGTCTACCACTGAGCTACACCCCCGGCTCTTGCTAAGTTGCCCAGGCTGGCCTTGAACTTGCCATCCTCCTGCCTTGGCTTCCCCAGTAGCTAGGGTTATAGGCGCGCACGCCCACACCGGGCTTTCCCAATGTTTTGAAGTCAGAGAGTCATGAGATTATTGGCAGATGTGAAGAAACTTCTTCATAGGCACCGTTTACTTTCGTGATTGTACTTGGAATTGCACATGGAAGCTTCTAATTTGGAAGCAGAAGAAAATAACTGGGTTTAAATAACATCAGAAGAATGAAATCCCGAGTTTTTAGAAGTTATCAAGTTCACAGACCTATTTAGCTGCATTCACAGACACTGTACAGCACCACAGAAGGAGCCCCAGAGAACACGGCCCGGGGAAGGCCCACCTGAGCAGAGCTGCCGGTCCTTCCAGCAAACCCTGAGGGGCCCGTGCCCCTGGGCACCGCCCCACTCAGCAGAACAGCTGCCTCTCTTGGTGTCTCAGCACTCCTCTGACTCAGCCACTCCTTCCTGGACCCGGCGCCTGCACCAGGCCCTTTCCTACCAATCACAGTCCCCCCAGGAAGGTCTGCTTCCAACCACCGCCACTTTAACTCCAGTTTATTATTTATTAGAGCAACAAATGCCATGGAGGGAAAGGACTAGATCACAGGAGAAGGGAGCCTGGTCCCAAGATGTGACATTTACACTGAGACAAGTAGGTGTGACCCCAGCCAAGTGAGCGTGTGTACGTGTGTGTGTGTGTGTGTTAGGGGATCGAGGTGGCTGAGAGTACCCCAAGTGGAGTTTGCACAAAAGCCTTGGCCAGCTGAGACCAGGGGTGTTGGGGAACTGAAGACGGAGGCCCTGTGCTGCTGGAACTCAGAGAGCACTTACCATGCCCCCAGTCTGCAAGGTCTCTTCCTACAGAAGCCCTGAGCACTGACTCCGTGTTAGCCACATCCCCATCCCCAGTCCGCTGCCTGGCCCATGGCAAGGCATTGCTCCGGAAGTGATAAATGTGTAGCCAGTTTGAAAAATATTCTGGCAGCTTCTCATGAAGCTAAACCTACATCCTCCAAAGGACTTCACAATTGCACTGTAGGTGTTTACCCAAAGAAGGGAAAGCGCATGTGCACAGGAAGACCCGTGTGCAAATCTTCAGGAAAGCATCGTGACTCCTAGCCCAGGTCTAGGAACACCTCTCAGAGTGGACAGGCCGACTATGTCATGTCACCATGCAAGCCCGTGCAGAGTGAGAGGGCAGAGGCTGGCCCACCCACACAAGTGAACCCCGAAAGTTTTATGGCAAGTGGAAGGAGTCACCACCAAGACTACCTGCATGATTTCATTTACTTCCTGCCCTTAAAAAGTGACCAGAGCGGGTCACTGATTGCCAGGGCTGGGTTGGGTCCAGGTGGGGAATCAACCGCAGGGGCAGGAGGAAGTTGGCATGAGGGAAAGGCTCAGTACCTGGAATGTGGCCTGGTGCAGGAGTGGTGGGCGTGACTGCACCGAGTCAGCACTCCCTGAGCTGGGCACGAAAGCAGGTTAATCGTATTGAGCGTCAACCTTATCCTGTAAAGGTGGCTGAACAATTTGCTGAAGCGCTGATACAGTTCAAATACAAAGGCTGACAGGCACTTCGTCTTGTGATGTGCTGGCCCCAGGAGCCCAGGGCCCGGGCAGGAGGGCACCCTTTGGCAGCTGCCACGAGCAGGCCTCATCTGCCGTTCCTGTCCAGTCCCTGGCTCCTGCAGCAACACAGAGAGAGAGAGAGAGAGAGAACAGAACGGGGGCTTGACAAGCCCAGTTGTGCATCCCACTCTCCCATCTCTGGGCTGTGGGATCTTGGGCAACTGACCTAACTGCTTAGAGTCTCTGAGATGCGGGTCACACCACCCTCTTGGGTCGCAGATGCCAAGAGATGGTGTTTGACTGCTTACTCAAATCCTGCGTGATCTCAGGCAACCCACCCCAGCTCACAGAGCCCCCGAGGCGCCGGCCTTGTGAAGCAGGTCTGGAGCAGCACTTCTCCAGCAGGACTGTTAGGGAGCCTAGAGCAGCCTGGTCCAGCACAGGGCCCTGCGCCCAGCTACCTTCCCTGGCTTCAGCCATGGGTGTGGAGGTCTAAGATGCCCACTGGCACACAGCAGGGTTACTCTTCATGGGGATGCTAGGCGGGTGCAAGTCTGGCCCTAAAGAATTTCGGGGGGGGGACGTGTGTGGCAGCTGGAGACGTGGCTCAGCAGACAGGCTTGCCTAGCATGTGTGAGGTCCTGGTTTAATCCTTAGCACCACATAAAAATAGATAAGTAAATAAAATAAAAGTATTGTATCCATCTACATTTTTTTTTAAAATTGAACAAAACAAAACAATTTCAGGAGATGGGAGAGGTCTGCCACGGCCAAGTGATTTTCACAAGGGACTTGCCCTGGAGGAATGCGCAGAGCAGCGGGTTGGCAGGCACTTGGTGTCCAGGAACTCACAACCTGGAGGCTGCGGCAAGCGCAGGACGGCGCGTCTGGGCCAGAGCCTAAGAATGGAGCCTCTCCTCTCTCTCCTACCCAGAACCACGGGCAGCCTGTGGGGCCTTCCACCACAAATAGCGAGCTGGGCTCAGTAACCGTTTTGGAAAGGAGCTCCCAGAAGGCAGGAGGGAGGCTCAAATTGTCTAGGGGCCTCCAGGGGCACCTGGAAAAGGTGGGTGGGACCAGCAGAGGGACATCAGAACCCTTGTAGGGTGCAAGGCCAGGAAGAGCTATGGTAACGGGAAGTGAATGGGGGAGCGCAGGGGGACCCGGAGAGGGCTAGGGGGGACTCTCCACCACCTCCCAGCCCTACGGGCCTTGCTGCTGCCCAGGAGGGCAAAGAGTAACCTTCACTTCCTGTTTAACATAAGTCATGCCAAGAGGGATGAAGATCTGCTTACTTTCCTGTTACGTTTTTGCAGTGCGCTACACCAGGGCACAGCTCTGCCGGGAGCTCCGGTTCTGCAGCAGGCGGGATCCACACAGGGGGTGGAGCCGTAATGAGAGTATGAGTCCTCCAGGGAGGGCTTTCCACTGACCCCCGGGGTGGGCGATCCTGGTCCCGGTTACCAGGCTCCGAGCAGAGGTTAGTGTACAAGGTGCCACAGACCAATCTGCACGTTGCATTCCTGGGGGAAACCCAAGAAGGTCCTCCGAGGAGTGAGCGCTGAAATAACCCAGCAGCAGGGCTCACAGACCCATGGCACAGAGAACCTGTCCTACACCCCCTCTGCTCCTCAGGCAGGTATTTGAGCAGATGCCCACATTGTTTTTAATCCATAGTGGAGCCGGGCACAGCCCAGCAGTACCTTTCCCATTGCCTCAGCACACCCTCCTGAGTGGACTCCAGAGCCTGGGACGGTGGCTGCTGCGGCCTACCTAGGCCAGGAGGCTCCTCTCTTAGTGGCTTCTAGTTGGCCTCATACAGAAAGGGTCTGAAATTGCAAAAGGGCCTTCTGGATCCCCCCAGAAAGCAGAAGGCAGAAGTGGTGCCCACGTCCACCCAAGGTTAGCACACTGCTGGCCATGAGGCCAGATTGGCCCGCACTGCCTGTCTGCAGCCACCCTGACTCTGGGGCACAGGCTGGTGTGTGTGTGTGTGTGTGTGTGTGTGTGTGTGTGTGTGCGCGCGCGCGTGCTAGCGTGTGCTAGCGTGTGCATGCTAGCGCGTGCCGAAGCATGTCCTGGATCTGCCTCCCTAGCAGGGACTTGGTAAGGTACTAGTCTCCTTTGGACTTATTTTCCTCCTTTGTAACATGAGGGTGTCCACCACAGAAGATCATTATGACTATGAGTGAGATAATGTGCACAGAAATGCCTTAAAACAATATTGCACCCCCCCCATCTGTCGTTCTCTTTCACACTGATTTTACTTAGTATGGCTGGGCACTGGCTGGGCTGGGGTTAGGACCTGCTAATAACCCTGACTTAAGCAGGCCTTCTACCGGTTCATAGTTGTGCAAGTGACATTTAAGATTTGAGATCTCTAGGAATCTTGAGTGAGCTTCTCGAAATTAAGCCAAGGCCCCTGCTCCGTGGAAGCTGACAGAAGCAAAGGGGGACCCAATACCAGCACATGAGGATGAATCTGTGAGGGGGTCCTGGCCAAGCAGCTGCAGGAGCCCCAGTGTGCTGTCAGAGCCCAGGGGGGAGGAGTGGGGGGAGGGGGGAGAGACAGGACGGGTTCTGGGGCAGAGTCTGATTTGTGGCTCCCTCTACTCCTTAGGTGACCATGGGCAGGCAACCTCACCTGTGCAGTGGGGACATGCCGCTTAGCCCCACAGACCATATGAGAATCCAACGGGAGGGCCCAGGTGGCTGTTGAGTGTCACACACGCTCAGCAAACCCTGCTGCTCAACACAAAGCCCGGGAACTTGGAATCCACCCTTCAGGGCACGTGTGGCGGGAATCTTGAGGGAAGACACTGGTCCTGAGTTCTCACCACGCCAAACCAAGATTGCAAAGGGGAGTCCCAGCCAGCCCCACTGCGATGCAGCCTCCTGCTGGAGAGGGGGCTGGGGATCCAGGGAAGAGTGGGCCACCCGGTGAGGCCCCAGAGCAGGGCCAGGAGAGGGCAACACATGGAAGAGAGCAGGGACAATGGAAGGAAAACTTCCATTTAAGGAGCAAATGGGGGTGGGTGGCAGGGAGCGGAGAGACGCAGGAGGCTGGCAGCAGGGGACAGGCATTCCGGACTGTGTCAGTGCAGGAGCTGCCCAGAGGATGGGCCAGGGTCAGGGGACCTGAGGGGCTGCTGACCTCCCACACCGGGCTCCAGAGTTTGTGACATTTTGAAGACAGACTGAGGTTCTTAGGGAACGCGGCACGTGACAACAGAGTGTAGAAGGAGAGTGTTAAGTGAAACACTTCCCAGTCCAAGGGAGACCAGTGGAAGGAAGGGACCAGAGGGAGGGAGCAAGGATGCGAAGCAAAGGTACGGACACAAATGGACCAGATCAGGTTGTCCTGTTGTGTGCACGGCCAGCGGCCAGCACGCAGCAGCAGATCCACCATCACGTGCCATTAGAATGCACCAATAAGCATTTTTTAAAAAATAAAAAATGCAATGTTTCCCTTTTTAACCAAGATAGAATTCTAGAAGTTATTTAGCGTCCCCCACCCCAATGTCTATCTATTAAAAAATGTAAAACTTTTTTTGGTGAAAATGGAGCACTTTTTTTCACTGTGAAAATGAAATGAAGAGGAAATAGCAGCTCTGGAAGTGCTTGTAGCAGATGGAGCAGAGGTCGCAGCTGTCAAGTACAGCATGACACGGACAATACACCACAGAGGACATGCACCATCCAGAGAAGAGCCAACATGAAAAGTTGTCAGGGAAACGCAAGTTCACATAATTTCTCTTTGTACTTATCAGAAGGGAGGAGGGGGGCAGGGGAATGAGGGAGGGGACCAAGGGAAGCAGGGAGGGGGAGGGGAGGGGGGCCAGAGGAAGGAGGGTGTCTGGGCGGAGACCTGGGAGCCAGGAAGCACCCCAGATCCTGCTGGAGGAGAGGTGAGTGGTGCAGCCTTCTGGGAAAGTGACGGGGCAGCATCTGTGAAATGAGATGACACAAACCCTTGGGCCCAGCTCCCGCCCTGCCCCTCAGGCTTCTAAGTTCAAGAGCAGGAGGCCATGGGCAGCTGTTTACAGCAGCAGGGCCCAGGAGAGAGTGAAGAGCCGGTAAAGGGAAATGGCTTGCCCCATATCCGCCCAGTGGGCCATTTTAACTCTGAAGAAGACTGAATGACACGCTCCGATTTCACCAAGTTGTGGTGAGAATGGTAGGCTGCCGAGAGGGGCATGGAGATCTACCAAGAAGCAGCCCCTGAGAACGCGGGTGTGCACCTGGGTGCCTAAGTGTGTAGCATAGGTGGGACGCAGCTGGAGGGGAGAGTGACCAATCACGCTGTGTGCCTGTGAACATGGGAGGGAATCCCACTCTTACGTATAACTGTAATGCATGCGTAAAAAATAAAAGTCAGCCTACAACTGAGTTACACCTCGGGTACTTAAAAGTTTGTGTGTGTAGGGGCCGGGGATGTGGCTCAAGCGGTAGCGTGCTCGCCTAGCATGCGTGCGGCCTGGGTTCGATCCTCAGCAGCACCACATACCAACAAATATGTTGTGTCCGCCGAGAACTAAGAAAAAATAAATAAATGTTAAAGTTCTCTCTCTCTCTCTCTGTCCCCCTCCCCCTCTCTCTCTCACTCTCTCTTTAAAAAA